GGTGGGGGGGGGGCGGGTGTCCTCAGACTCCAGGAGACACCTGAGGACATGCCTGTCATGTTCTCACCCTCTGACTTCCCAGCACTAACCTGGGCCTCTCAGAGGTGTCTAAGGACTGGGAGAAGCTCCCTCTCCTCACCTGGGGAGCTGCAGGGCAGAGGGAGGGATGGAGCCGCAGCTGGGGCTCCCTCATAAGAGTCCTCAGCTCCCGGACCCCCCTCACCTGCCCTCACAGGAGCTGCTGAAGGAGACGCGGAAGGAGCACACGCTGCGGGCGGTAGAGCTGCTCTACTCCATCTTCTACCTGGACATGCAGCAGGTGACCCTGGTCCTGCTGGGCCACATCCTGCCCGGCCTGCTCACCGACTCTTCCAAGTGGCACAGCCTCATGGACCCCCCCGGCTCCGCGCTCGCCAAGTAGGCGCCTGCAGAGCATCCGGTCCCCGTAGCCCCGGGTCAGGCAGCCTTCCCCGGGGTCACCCAGGAAGTGGGGCTGTGGGAGGCCATGTCAGCTGGGGCCTGATCACCCAGGGCACAGAGCCCCCCTTAGAGCTGGAGGTGACTAGGGGTCCCTCTAATTTTACTCCTCTTCCTGGAACCCTCTGCCAGGCTCGCCGTCTGGTGTGCCCTGAGCTCCTACTCCTCCCACAAGGGACAGGCGTCTTCCCACCAAAAGAAGAGGCACCGTGAAGACATCGAGGTAGGGTCCCTCCGCCCACTATTCACGCGTTTGTGGAGCAGACGTTTCCTGAGCCTCTTCCGGTGAGAGGCCCCTCCCAGGCCGAGCAGCCAGGCTGCTCCCTGACTCCGGGCGGCCTGGCGGCCATGTGGCCGCAGGGATGACCGAGCAGGTCTCACTGGGATCGGAGGGGTGAGGGGAGGGCTGGGATGCCGCGGGTGGGGAGCCCGTAACAGTGAGTTCCCGCCCCCAGGACTACATCAGCCTCTTCCCCTTGGATGACATGCAGCCCTCGAAGCTGATGCGCCTCTTGAGCTCCAATGAGGAGGATGCCAACATCCTTTCCAGTCCTGGTGAGAGAGGACAGGGCTGGGCAGCGGCTCCTTTCCTGGCACTTGGTCCTCCGGCTGCTGTGCTAGGCCCCAGCGCAGGCATCTTTGCTGGCGGTCAGAGGGCGGCAGGAGTTTGTCCCATTTTGTCTCCTGGCTGCTGTTTTCCACCCCAGAGAGACCGGGGCTGCTGGGGTCCCTCCCACCAGGTGGAGGCCTCCTGCCCGGTCCAGGCCCAGGCCCAGGGCTGTCCCTTCCCGCCCCTTCCTTCCCGCCAGCTACCAAGGGAGCCCACTGCCTGGGCACAGTCTGCCGCTGACTCACCAGCTCTGAGCTTCCTGGTCCTGAAACGGGCCCTGAGGCCGGCAGGCTGGGCTGGGCTGGGGCTCGGGGCTGCTCCCCACTCTTCCTGCCGAAGAGCAGCCCCCCCCCCCCCCCCCCCCCCGGCTTCCCTCGCTGTCCGCACCCAGGGCTCTGGTGGCACTCACATTGTGCTGCTTCTGGAGATTTCTCTGAGGCTTTCTAGGGACCAGGGAGCCACCTCTGCCTGAGCAGCAGGTAGATGCCGCTCTGCCGCCTGCCAACCCTCTGGCCTTTGCCTAGTCACTTAGCACCTCTGATCTCGGTTCTTCGTCTGGAAAACTGAGGTGCGAGGCTACAGCGCTGAGTCTGCGCGGCCCACAGAGGCCCCTGGCGCCTGGCGTGTGGCCGGTGTTAGTTCTGTCTCCTCTCCTCTGGGCCTCTCTGTTTTGGGGGCCCCTCGGTGACTCTGGACCCAAGGACTCTGCGGGGCCCTCCACGCCCGATGGTGAGGCTTCCCCGGCAGAGGGCCTGGTCCTGAGTGCTCTCCGTTGGCCCCACAGCCGACCGGTCCATGAGCAGCTCCTTGTCAGCCTCCCAGCTCCACACAGTGAACATGAGAGACCCCCTGAACCGAGTCCTGGGTGAGTCCTCCCCCCGACTCCGGAACGGGGTTCAGGCCCGTCAGCTGGAAGAGGCCTCTTAGTCCCCTGTCTGCTCTGTCACATCCCCCTGCCTCCATCCTTCTCCCCTACCTGCTAGCTCTCCGTCTCCCCCGGGCTCCCAGGTTGTGCCTCTTCTGACTCACCCCCAATTTCCCTCTACATCTCCTCTTCATGACACCCCCATCTGGGGGGACACTCGGCACTGCTCTCCCTTCCCTTTTCAGTGCCACCTCCTCCCAGTCTGACCCCCTCGCAGACCCTTCTCACGGGATTCTCGCACCTCCCCGTCCTCACAGCCAACCTGTTCCTGCTCATCTCCTCCGTCCTGGGCTCTCGGACCGCCGGCCCGCACACGCAGTTCGTGCAGTGGTTCATGGAGGAGTGCGTGGACTGCCTGGAGCAGGGCAGCCGCGGCAGCATCCTGCAGTTCATGCCCTTCACCACGGTGAGCTCGCCCGGCTGGGCGGTTCCGTGGCGAGCCCTCCGAGGAGGGAGGGGGCCCTACTACGAGGTAGACCCAGTAAGCAACTGTCTGTCTGTCTGTGGCAGGTGTCAGAACTGGTGAAGGTGTCGGCCATGTCCAGCCCCAAGGTGGTCCTGGCCATCACAGACCTCAGCCTGCCCCTGGGCCGCCAGGTGGCTGCCAAGGCCATCGCTGCCCTCTGAGGGGCCCGCAGGGAGGGTCTAGCCCCAGGCGCCTCGAAAGGAGACAGTGGGGAAAGATGAGGCATCATTGCTCACATCCACATGATGTAAGGGCCCTTTGCTGGCTTCCAGATCCCTCCCCTCTCCCCTACTTCTGGCTGTTCAGATGCCCTCATCTTTCATCATTTCCTCTCCGTGCTGCCCGTTCCTGACGGAGTGTGAGCAGCCTGGCCCTCAGCTCAGCGCGGTCTCCCCGCCCGCCCCGCCCCGCCCCGCCCCTGTGCTCCTGCCCCCTCCCAGAGGCACTGGGTGCGGAGTGTACATATGTATGTATGTGTACATTTAAACGTTTGGCAACACACGAGGGACGTTCACGGCAGCTCACTTGTAAATAAAGGTCCTGTGGATCCCTTTGTAAGTGCTGTCCGAGTCTCTGTCTGGCCTGGGGGTGGGGGTGGGGTGGGGTGAGCAGAGGAGGGCTGGCCTCGGGGGCCGTGTTTGTCCACTCCTTTGGGGCAGGGAGGGCAGTGGATGATTACCGTCACCCGAGGATAATGAGTCAACACTGGCCCACCACCGCCTACACCCACCCCCAAAGTCAGACTTTCTCTGAAAAAGGTGAATACTCATTCCTAGAGTTGGGGTAGAGTGTCTTATTCTGATGCTCAACCCAGACCAGCCACACCCAGAGTCTGATCTGTCCCCCATGAGAGCAGGGGGGGGGGGGGGCGCGCTGTGGGGCGGTGAGGGGCAGGAGCTGTTTTACGCTGCCTTGCCTGCTCCGGGGGACTCCAAGCCTGATTCCTTCAGAACTGACCGAGAGGGAGGACTGAGCCCCCACTGGGAGGTCCAGCTGGCCAAGCCGGACCCTGCTCTGCAAGGAGCCACGAGCGGAAGGGAAGGGAGGGCCGATGAGGACGGGGAGGCCTGGGGAGGGGGAACTGGGGACTGGCTGGCCGGCTGGACCTCCCTGGGTGTGGCGGAGGCGCCTGGGAACCACACGGGCACCTTGGGCTGAGGGAGAGGGCTGCCCGTGGGAAGCAGCCCCTCCCAGCTGCCCTCCCAGCCTCTCAGCCCAGGCCCGAGACCAGCAGGAGGCAGGTGTGAGCAGCTCCCTGCCCGCCGGTCAGAGGCCGCTGTGGAAGGGGGAGAAGTACAGAGCCTGCGATTTGAGTTCAGACCGACGCAGTCACCTGGACTCCGCCTCCTGATCTGTACAAGGCCCTTCTCTTTTAAAACTACATTTTTATAGGTTTCAGAAAGGAAGGGAGAAGGAGAGAGCCATAGATACATCAGTGATGAGAGAGAATCATTGATCGACTGCCTCCTATACACCCCTGCTGGGGAGGTGCCCTGGCCAGGAATCAAACCTAGACTTCCTGGTTCATAGGTTGACGCCCAACCGCTGAGCTACACTGGCCAGGCCAAGGCACTTAAAAAAATTTTTTTTTAAATCCTCATTTGAGGATATTTTTTCATTGATTTTTTTTTAAAGTGGTTTAATGATTGTGTTAGACATATGGCAGGCAAGATGAACATATGTTTTTTAGAGTATATTTTTATTGATTTCAGAGAGGAAGGAAGAGGGAGAGAGAAATATCGATGAGAGAGAATCATTGATCAGCTGTCTCCTGCACACTCCTGCCTCCAGCACACTGGGAATTGAGCCTGCAAACCAGGAATGTGCCTTTGACCAGAATCAAACCTGGGACCCTTCAGTCCACAGGCTGACAATCTATACACTGAGCCACACCGGCTAGGCGCAGTGGTCGGCAAACTCATTAGTCAACAGAGCCAAATATCAACAGTACAACGATTAAAATTTCTTTTGAGAGCCAAATGCTTTAAACTTAAACTTCTTCTAATGCCACTTCTTCAAATTAGACTCTCCCAGGCCGTGCTAGTTTGTGGAAGAGCCACACTCCAGGGGCCAAAGAGCCACATGTGGCTCGCGAGCCGCAGTTTGCCGACCACAGGGCTAGGGCAAGGCACTTCTTAATTCTCTCTCTCTGAAGGCTCCTGTGAGTGTGGATGGGCTGGAGTTCATGAACGATGTAAACTGCCCGGCTCTGCAAACATTAACTGCATCTGGACGGTCAAGGTTCTCCCCAAACTCCACATGCCCCTCTCTGGGTAGCAGTGTCGCATCTGCCTTCGACCAGGCCCGGCGGGCGCACTGCCGCGGCCCTAGCATTAGCCTCGCGCCTGCGCAGAGAAGGTGCAAGATGCATACGTGCTGAAGGAATGAGCCAGAGGACTGACTGCCCCTCCTCCCTGCACCCCTTCCCCCCTCCCTCTGCCCTTGACCGCCATTCAGCTCCCTGCCCCCCCCAGCCCCTGGCCAGGCACCAGCTGGACTCAAGAAGGAGGAAGGACATTTACTAGAGACAAACACTTTATTAACATGAAGTCTGGCTACAAGAAGCAAGTAGAGGCTGAGAGTGAACAGTTGAGCTTCCCTCTCACCCATCCCATAATCCCCCTCCTCTTTTCCCGCCCACGTTGCCATCCCCACGCAGCCAGGCAGGTGCACCACCATCTGCACTGGCCCCGGTGGGGGTGGTGTCCCAGGCCTACGGGGGTCTCTCCAGGGCGTCCAGAAAAAACAAGAGACACCCCACGGGCATGACAACATGCCCCCCGAAGTCTTAAGAAAAGTTAGATTACCCAACAAACTTGTGGGACCGCAGGGCCAAGCCTCCAAGCTCAGGCCGCCTCCGCTGGGCTTCAGGCCCGTGGGGAGGGGCCGGGAGGGGGAGAAGGCCTGGCGCTCACACGCCACGCTGCAGCCGGAGCGAGGGAGGGATGAGGACCCAGCTGCGAACACGGCTGTTTAAATATTAAACAGGCTGTCTTGTCTCCCACGCGGGAGAGCTGCTGATGCTTCCAGGGGCCCCGAGGTGGGGTGCCCTCGGGGTCGGGGGGTCGGTGCCCACCCCAGTCATCGGAGTTAATACTTGGTATTTACCTAGCGACCTCCCAGTCCAGGGGACAGGAGGTCAGGAGTTTTCTCTCTGCCACAGACAGAACGACATTTGGAGGTGGAGGGAAGGGCCCAGGAATCGGAGACTCCGTTCCGCTCTTCCCTGTCTTTAAATATTAGGTTTAAATAAATAATAAATAGCGATAAATACATTGGAGGGGGGGGGGGTCCGCTCAGGGCTCCGAGGAGAGGTAGCGCAGGACGCGGAGCGCCAGCTCCAGGAAGCCCTGCAGGTTGGAGGCCACCAGGAAGGCCCCTGCCCGGCGCTGGAAGGCCGAGGTGAAGGTGAAGGTGAAGGTGGGCATGGTGCCCTGGGCGGCCGGCACTCCGGGGGCCATCCCCAGCTCTTGCATCTGAGGGCGGGGGGAAAGGACAAGATTAGCCAGCGCCCTGCCGAGGGGGCAGATCACGAGCACATGGTTGAGACAGAGCCGGGGCCCGAACCCAGGCCTCTTCGGAGCTCCAGTGACCCCACTCCTGCCCTCAACTAGGGGAGCGTGGGAAGGCCAGGAGCAGGAGGGTCCCCCCACCCCCCAGGTTGCCAGCATGACCTTTAGGGACCATCTCGGTCTGGTCCCTAACGCCTGCCGCTCCCAACCCAGGCTCACCTGCTGCCGGATGTTGGTGGCAAAGTCGTTGATGTCCAGCTGCAGCACGTCCAAGGTGGGGCCCACCCCGGGGGGGCCTCCTGCCAGGGCCTGCAGGAGGCCCTGGTAGAAGAGGAGGCCACTGTGGAGCTGCCCCAGGCAGCCTGTCTGGGGAGACGGAGAGGGAGAGTCAGGGGGTGCTGCTGGGGCGCTCCCCTCAGGGCCCCAGCCTGGAGCCTGGAGGTGGGGGACCTTCCAGATCACCCTTCCCCTCCCCGCCCTCCTGCCCCTCAGACACTCACCAGCTGCAGGGCCTGGCTGGAGCAACTGCCCAGGGGCACCTGGGGGATGCTCAGAGAGTGCCTGAACAGCACCAGCTCCTCAGGGTGGCACAGCTGGTGGGTGGCACACTGGGGACGAGAAGGATGCTGAGTGCAGGGGACTTAAGAGAGCCAAGCTGTCCCCCAATCTCTCTGAGGTCTCCCCCTGCCTCCATGTCCTGCCAGGCTCCTCAGCCCATCCTGCCCTCCACTTCCATCCCGGCTCGGTCCCCAAGGTTCTCTCCCCAGTTTCTTCCCGCCTTTCAGGGCTACCCTTCTCCTACCTTCCTTCCCTGCCCCGTGCTTCTCTGCTCCCAGGCCCTCCTGGTGCCCCCGCCCCCCATGCACACACACACTTCCCTTCCCCTCCCTCCGCCGTCTCCTCCGTTCTCTGCCCCTATCCCCGCTGGGCAGCGTGTGTGTGCCCTCCCTCCTTGCCGCCAGCCCCTCACTCACCAGCCTTTCCTGCAGGACCAGGACATCCGCCTGGATCTTCCTCACTTGCTCTAAGCACTTGAGCAGGAAAGTCTCGGGCAGGTAGTGGGCAGGGCCCAGGGGAGTCGCTTCGTGCACCGTCCAAAGTGCACTGTGCCAGAGGAGCAGCTGGAGGGCTGGGAGCGGGCGGACGGGCTCAGGAGCTGTCCTCTCCGCTCCCACCAGCACCCTGTTCTGGGGACTTAGGGACCACCAGCCCCTGGACCCTCCCAACCCCCCCTCCCCTGCCCCAGGCAGCCAACTCCGGGATCCTGGGCGGGACACTCACCCATCAGCTTCATGGGCTCTGTGCAGCGGGTCAGCAGAGTCTGGCTGGGGCTGCAGGCTCGGGCTCTGTCCGGGACCAGCTCTGAGGATCTTTATACCTCAGCCCATGGAGGCCCGGGAGGAAATACCTGCCACTAAGGCTTAGTAATAACTTCCCAGGATTTATGCAAATTCAGTGTCCAGGACAACAACGAGGGGGGGTTGAGACAAAACGCTGTTTGCGAAAGTTTTGTGAAATTGTGGAATCCCAGATCCTTTGACCTCGGTGCCCCCTCACACTCTCTTCCTCTCCTTTGCCCCACCCAGCCCCGAGCTGCCGCGGGGTGTTTGAACAGCCCTGAGCAAAGGCTGAGCCGCCCATCCAGAGCCTTGGAGACTGGAGTCGGGTCAGACTGCTCGGAGCCTGACCTCTGGGCAGCCCCACCCTCTCTCCTGGCAGATCTGTGGGGCAGCTCCCTTTGCCACTTTCCTGTGGGATAATCAAGCCACCTGCTCTCGGCACCTACATTCCGAGAGGGGAGAAGCTAGTCGCCCCCATTTCTACCCCCCAAACGCCCACTGCCTTCCGGAATCCTCCCCCGAGAGCCCAGGGGCCGGGGATTAGGGACATTAGGGTCTTGCCTCCTGACCCTCTGCACGGCTTGATGGCCAGCATCCCAGGCTCCTGCCTGCACTGATTAGCTGGGAACTCCCCAGTCCCCCCCATGACTCATCCCTTTAAGCCCCTGGAATCCTGGCAGAGACCAGAGGAAACCGGATGCCTGTCCTGAATGAAGCAAGACCCTTTCGAGGCTCTGGGTTCACCTAACCCTGCCCTTCCTCCTCCTCCCGCACCCCCCTCCCCGAACAGGGTCCCAGGGCTTTGGAGTTGGGGTCTGGGATGCGTGGCTTCCCAGGCCGGGTGCACTGCCAGCCAGAGCGCGTGTGCTGCCCCGAGGCGGAGTGGGCTGCGGGTGAGAAAGAGGAGCTGCCCTGGCTCTGAATCCGCAGACCATGCCATGTTGGCACTGGAAGGAGCCTAGGAGACACATCTGACCTCAGAGAGCTTAGGTGTCTTGCCAAGGAGCAGCACGCAGATCTGCCCTGTGAACTGGGCCAGAGAGGGAAGTGCCTCGTCCCGGGTCATGTTTTACAACCGGGGCCTCTGCCTTGGGCCAGAGAGCTTTCCCCAGGCCGAGGGGCCTACCCAGGGCAGTCTGACCAGGCACACCACGGCTGTCCATTTCTGTCCATTTCTGTCCCAACTTTCTCTGAAATGTGCCTGGGAACAGAGGCATCTTCTTCACCTGAGGAGTGGGTGTGTCTCATTGGGTGAGGTCATTTCTGCAACAGGGGTGCCCCCTGGTGGTCATAGCTGGCAGGGTCTTCACCTGCTGATGTGTTCACATCCTGCCTCGGGGACCCTGTTCCTTGTGGAGCAGGCTCCCCACCTCCACTTTCCCGTAGGCCTTCTGCCACCGTGCACTGGCTGCCCCCACTCCATGGGCGGGGGGCTGGGAACTCACATCGACAGACGCGACCCCTCAAACCTCCGGAGGGGTCAGCCCGCCTTGGTCAGTGTGCCGAGTGAGCAGAGCACGCTACACATCGTCCAGTTCCTCTCCATAAGCCCTTCTCCCTTTTACAGAAGACAAATTCGACCTCCGAGAGCTTAAGTAGCTTGCCAAGGAACAGAACTCTTAACCATCAGGTCTCTCAGCCAGCGTCTGGCCTTCCTCACTCATGACCAGGCCAGTGCTAGACCCAGACTTCTTTTATCTGCACCTGCAGTCCAGTGTCAGATGTTTGGTTCAGAAAATCATGTGACTCTAAGAAGGGTGGCCAGAATGGTGAAGGACTCAGGATCATGATTAAAGAAAACAGGCTTTCTCACCTGGGGAAGAGGAGGGGTTGCTGGGTGGTCTCGGGGCTGGAAAGGGACCGGAAGTGAAGGCCACAGACCGTTTTCAGCTCAACAGAAGGAAAGTGCTTTCTAACGGTGTGAGATGTTGAAAGATGGAGTGGGCTGCTTCCAGAGGAAGTGATGAGCTGTCGTCCCAGGAAGTGTCAGGTCATACATCCCATAGGGAGAAATCTGAATGCTGGCTGGCAATTATGTCAGGCACCTTCTCTTACACTTTCGTCATTTCTTTTTCTTTTTTTAAATAATTTTTTATTGATTTCAGAGAGCGAAATAGAGAGAGAGAGAGAGAGAGAGAGAGAGAGAGAGAGAGAGAGAGAGAGAGAGAGAGAGAAACGTCAATCATTGATCAGCTGCCTCCTGCATGCCCTCTGCTGGGGATTGAGCCCACAACCCAGGCATGTGCCCTAAGTAGGAATTGAACCGTGATCTCCCGGTCCATGGGTCAACGCGCAACCACTGAGCCACGCCGGCTGGCTACACTTGTCATTTCATCTGATCAATCTGGCGGTAGGATGTGGCTTGTTCTCGCAGACAAGGGGTGGCCTCGGAGAAGCGAAGGGCCTTGCCCAAGGTCACAGTCAGGGGAGAGCCAGGCAGACCTGCTTCCCAAGCCCCCGTGGCTCCCATCACATCTCCTTCCTGCTCAGATGAATAACGGCTCAATCCAGACTCCTGCCCAGCTCAGGGGAGAGGAAAGACCAGGTAGAGAGAGGGGAGAGAGGCGAGAGCTTGTCACTGGCCATGGCACACACAGGCTGAGCTAGACCCAAACAATCATATGGCAAAGGGTCTGGCTCCAGCGACCCCGAGTTACCCATCCTTCCAACTTCCCAAAGGCTTTCCCAGGTATTTCTCAGTGTCCGGAGCGAGCAGCCACGTCCCCTCCTCATCCTTCCTGCTTTCGTCTGGCACCGGGTGCGGAGCATCTGTGTACCGGCTCCGGAGTAATCATTTATTGCAGTTAGTCAGTGGGCCAACGTACGTACGCCCTGAGTTAAGTATGGGCTTTCCATTTTTAAATGATTGGGGGGAAATAGGAAAAATAATATTTCATAACACATAAAATTGTATGAAACTCAACCCCCAGTGCTCATAGACAACATATTTGCATATTGTTTATAGCCGCTTTCAAGAAGGAAGGAAATGAGTAATTGTCACAGACCATATGGCTCACCAGCCTAAAAATGTACTATCTGGCTCTTTAAGAAAGCTTGCACGCCATGTATACGGCAACGTGTGCAAGGAGACAGGCAGAGATGTTCTCTGCAGCATGGCTTGTAACGGGAAAGGCTGAATAAATTCTGGTCCATTCATACCACATATGCCTCCCTGCCACCCCCTGACAAACTCCGAGAGGAAAGGAGTTTTATTCCATTGTATTCTCAGTGCCTGGGACAGTGCTGGGCTCGTGTCAATATGCTTAGACCTCAAAGCCAATACTGAGCCAAAACCGGTTTGGCTCAGTGGATAGAGCTTCGGTCTGCGGACTGAAAGGTCCCAGGTTCGATTCCGGTCAAGGGCATGTACCTGAGTTGCGGGCACATCCCCAGTAGGGGGTGTGCAAGAGGCAGCTGGTCGATGTTTCTCTCTCATCGACGTTTCTATCTCTCTATATCTCTCCCTTCCTCTCTGTGAAAAATCAATAAAATATATTAAAAAAAAAACTCCAAAAAAACCCCCCAATACTGAGTGAAAAGAGCAAGTTACATTCATGCGATACATCATTTACAAAGATCAAAACAATACCACATATATTTTATTGATTTTTAGAGAGGAAGAAAGAGAGAGGGAGAGAGTGGTAGAAATACCATTGATGAGAGATAATCATGGATCGGCCACCTCCTGCATGCCCCTCACTTGGGATTGAGCTCATGACTTAGGCATGTGCCCTTGACCGGAATCGAACCCAGGACCCTTCAGTCTGCAGACCAAATCTATCCACTGAACCAAACTGGCTAGGGCTGTGATCGGTAAACTGCGGCTCGAGAGCCACAGGCGGCTCTTTGGCCCCTTGAGTGTGGCTCTTCCACAAAATACCAAGGCCTGGGTGAGTCTATTTTAAAGAAGTGGCATTAGAAGAAGTTTAAGTTTAAAAAATGTGGCTCTCCAAAGAAATTTTAGCCCTGACTGGTTTGGTTCAGTGGATAGAGTGTCAGCTTGAGGACTGAAGAGTCCCAGGTTCGATCCAGTCAAAGGCATGTACCTTGGTTGCGGGCACATCTCCAGTAGGGAGTGTGCAGAAGGCAGCTGATCGATGTTTCTCTGTCATCGATGTTTCTAACTCTATCCCTCTCTCTTCCTCTCTGTAAAAAAAAAATAAATATATATATATATATATTAAAAAAAAAATTTTAATTGTTGTACTGTTGATATTTGGCTCTGTTGACTAATGAGTTTGCCAACCGCTGGTCTAGGGCAAAACAATACTATATTTTGTAGCAAAGGTGTAAAAACAGAAGCTGGAAGGCTACCCACCGAATCCATCAGTGTCTGCCTGGGGAAGGAAGGGAAGGGCCCGGGGAATGAACAAGATGGGTTTCCAATTCATTGGCAATATTTTCACTTGGGTTAAAAACTTGACACAATAACAAAATGCTAACATTTATTAAATGCAGGTGGAAAGTATTGTACATGGGTGTGGAGAGCAGCTCCAGGTTTGGACAGGTTCTCAGACTAATGAGAGGGCACGGTCCTCTCATGGCAAAGCCACGTGCAAGTCCCAGCACAAATATAGCCCGGGCTACAGCCGTGAGCTCGACCTTACGGTCCGAACCTGCGGTCCCACGTGCCTGAGTGATATGGGCTGTGGGAGGGGCAGCAAGTAAACAAACCTGGATCAAGTGCAGGTAATTAAGTAGATTCCAAACCCAGGAGAAGGTGGTAAACATCTTGACCACGTCCTTACTTTGCCTGGTGGAATCTGGCTATAAAATAAAGACTCAGGTTACAGCCCGTGGCGCTCTCTCTCCATCTGAGAGGGCGGCGCCCCGGCTTTATTCTTTTTTTTTTTTTTTTTTTTTTTAAATATATTTTATTGATTTTATACAGAGAGAAAGAGAGAGAGAGATAGAGAGTTAGAAACATCAATGAGAGAGAATCATTGATCAGCTGCCTCTTGCATACCCCCTACTGGGGATATGCCCGCAACCAAGGTACATGCCCTTGAGCGGAATCGAACCTGGGACCTTTCAGTCCCTAAGCCGACGCTCTATCCACTGAGCCAAACCAGTTTCGGCCCGGCTTTATTCTTTTAGTCTGTCTTTCCTAGTCCTTCATCCGAGAGGGCGGCCCCCCTCAGGTTCTCCCATGGCCATGCTGGCATGGCTCACGTGGGTATTTGTTATGTCATTTTTTGTATTTCTCTGTTGTTTTCCAATTAAA